AATGGCGTTACTGTGTGGCTGCTCAAAAAGTCATGACTATAAAATAGCGAAGACAGCGTAGATCAGAGCACAAATATAGCTACAAGAAAGACATGAAAATCTGAATCAAACGTTTTTTCGAGTCATCCATGGATTGGTCTCTGCGAATTCTAGTGATAGCTTGAACAAACCGACGAAACAAACGGGACAGCCTAATATAAGAGGGCTCACAAAACTCTTAAAAGGGCTGTTTTGAATTTTATTCGACAGTTTTCAGATTTTTAACAGGCTTGCCTCGCCAAACCTGAAGCGATTTTCTTCTCCCATTTATTATTGAAATCAAAGTTTATTAGAGAACAACAATTTGTACACAGCTCACTTTCTAATGATTTTGATGCCTCAAGTTACGGTTTTTTGAAAACGTGTCAGAACATTCAGTTTGACCTGATATAAATTTCCCATAGAATGCTTATGATCAATTAAAATGCAAAACGTATGAGGAGCATAGCCCATAGCCCACCAACATGGTGCTAAAAATCAGGATGCTTGTATTTAGTGGCCAACTCAGCAATCTGAACATGAAACATGCCTTATCTGGAAAGTTAAAGTCACAGTTTATTCCAAAACATTGAAGACAGACAATTATTATTCAGAGTAAACCCGTTTAACTATAAATTACATGGCAGCAGAATTTATAGAGTAGTTTGGCGTTCAGCAGAGCTTGCGAACAATTTCGGGGTGATAGTTGTGAGTGAATCTGTCATTTGGGAGACATCTTCGTCCTGAGAGTTTTGACGTTCCTAAGTTTTTGGGGTTTAAACTTCCCGCACTTGGTTCCGAAAACTCAAAAACATGACTACCTCCAACAATGATGCGTTTTCCTGTGGGACACCCTCCATGCCGTACTTCTGTCGAGATTTCGGCGATTCCGAATCAAGGAGCTCCGTTAAGGGATTGACGATAGACGATGGAGAGCGCTTTGAGGTATTGCTCCATCCCGTAGGATCGCCAAAAGATTCCATGCCACTGTCATCTTCAGCTATGTCCCCAAGTCTAAACCTTGATATCATTCCATTTCAGTCATTGGTAAGTTTTACCTTCTTTTCAGTTTGGGTGTTTCATCGTATGGAATGCGCGGACGAACTTCTACTGATGGCAGTTGCTTGGGAACTGAAACAGATTATGGACTCACACCAATTTCGTCACAAAACAAATGTTTGCCTGCGTAAGTATCCTCATATTTAGGTGGCTGCAAGTCTTCGTTTGCATCAACAAACCCATCTAGCAAACTTGCATTCTCCTCCCTGCTTTGTGGCCTGTATGCAGGCGAATAGCTGGGGAAAGGATCGAACCAGGAAGACTTTTGTCTGAATGTTTCATAATAGCATGCATTGATATGGCATGATTAATTCACCTCTCAATTATTGGAGTAATCTGCGAATCGAGTTCAGATGAAATGTAACTGGTTTTCTTTGATTTTGCTTGGCAGCATTTGCAGTAGTTTAGATGCTGACATCCAGTGTCCCACCTGAGATATTGAAATTTGGAATTCGAACAGAAACTAGTTTATTGTTCCCGACAGAGATTGACTTGGCTTGATGTATTTGATTGTATGCGGACGTGACTGTTCAAATTTTGTAAATACAGAAATAGTTTTTTTTTCTTCAAAAAATAAAAACCAATGGTATTGGCTCATAAAAGCATTGGCATTTTCGACCTACGGAATGGTTTTCATGAACATGGAATATTTTACGTTTTTTAAGGAGGAATAACCATGGACTTTATATCAAGGTAGGCTTTTCGGCTCCTAGGCGATGAGAGAAGCAGGGATCTCGGCAGCTCTATCCGGGTGCATTCGAATAGATGTAACTTACATTCAGCTGATTAATTGCACGACCAAATTCTTTCCTAGGTTTCTAGGAGGATGACACTAAGTTGCATCCCTGCATGTTGCGC